TGTCTGTCACAGTGGTACCGGTAAAGCTCCGTACCACCCCAGGCGGCTTAGGACGCCCTTGTGTCTGGCCCTATCCAGATCTGTTTGTTCTCTGACTTCCCTTCCTGGCTTCAGCCTCATGAAGTGCCAGAGCCCCTCAGACATTTGCAGCTGAGGGGCTACTGCACTATTGCCCTAACTGTTTAAGGGACGGCTCTGCCAAGCGCCACAAGGGCGAGGCAGCGCCCAGGCACCAGTAAGTTCTGTACTACTCAGGTCACTGTGCACGTGTTTTTTTCTGTGTGTATATCTCAACCTGCTCTGGTGCCTGGGGTTGTCCCTCTTCTGTCTGGCTTCCAGCCTCTGGACTCTGTCCTTTTGGTGCAAGTCCTTGGCTTCCTTTGCTACTGTAATAGCAGTGACTTTTTCTGCTTCGGTTTGCGACCCCATCGTGCAGCTGGTCACGGCTCTTCCTCGCCCTCTAGGTCTGAATCCGCTGCGTCTGTGTTGCCTCAGCCAGCCGCTATATGTTTTCCCTCTGTGGCAGTTCTGCTTAAGAGGCTTGGGGATTTGCAGCGTTCAGGGTTGTTGCCAACCCTGCCTCTCCACCACCCGTGTTGCCGGTACCTGGCTCTCCGCCGGGGTTTTTGCCATTAAGCTTTTAGGCCCCGTGTGCCCATCTCGGGTTTGCGTCATAGCACTGCTAGTCGTCCCACTGATTGTGTGGTAAGGGCTGCCCTGCCCCTGCCAGCGCCCTCCCTATTGCATCCATCTTGGGCTTTGGGCTTGCGGCCTTCACCTTTGCAGCCTCCAGCTCTCAGGCAGCGCTTTTGTGATATGCCTTCTTCTCCAATTTCTGGCCTCCCTCTTTCAGAGCCCTCCTCACTGGCTACAGAGCCTTCAAGGGCAGCTTCACCTGGATTACCATCTGCTGCCTCCTTCGCGCGGACTGTGCCTGTGGGCCTGCTTACGTCAGCCTGCGCTTCCAGTTACTACTGGTCCCGTACTGCTGGGCTCATCTGCAGGTTGTTGCGCCGCGTACTGTTCGTCAGTCATGGCCTCATGATCTATGTCGACGATCTCTTGTGCCTGCTGCGGAAATGTGCTTCGCCTCTGCTGTCCGCATTTATCGTGCTTCTGTTCCTGGTTCTCCAGGTTCCCATGTCGTGGCACAAAGCCTGCCTCTCCTCTCAGCCTGTCTGGATTGGCCGGCGCATCGATTTGCTGACCTGCACTGTTCGCATGGAGTCTGCGAAGCAACAGCGCCTGTTACTGCTCTTGCAGCAGGTTCTCGAGGCCAGGCACGTCCCTCGGCATGATGTCGAGAAGCTTGCTGGTAAGCTGCTGTGGCTCTCAGGCCTTGTGTCCTTTCTGCGCCCCACTCTGGCGCCCTTGTACGCCTTGCAGCGTGCGGGTCAAACGGTTATGGCTGTTCGTCAGAGGCTCAATTGGCCATCCCTCTGTCCCAGTGGGATCACGCCTCCTCAGACTAGCGCGTCTGCCGCTTTCCAGCTTGTCTGACATCCCTCAATGGCTGCCTGAATCTAGGCGTGTCTGGGTGCAAGTCAGCCATTACCACACTCTCTCTGTGCCAGTGTCAGATGAGGTCCGAGAGGTCCTGTCTCTCTGGAAAGACTTTATGCATGACACGATGTGCCAGCATTCGGTCCTGCTCGCCCCGGCATTTGCTTGTGAGGCATTCGCAGATGCCTGCGCCGACTCTGCGTCTGTAGGGATGGGGGGCTACGTCAAGTTCCTTTCAGGCCTCAAGAGGTTTTTCCAGGTGTCTTTCACTAATGCCTGTCTGTGCGAGATTTGCCCTTTCCTTGCACCCGGTGAGTCCCCTCAGGCCTTCGTTGCCTCGTTTGAGTTGCTTGCACAGTCTGCGCTAATTTGGACTATTCAGGCCATGCTCCCACTTAGTCATCCCCCGCTGCACGTGGTTTTAAGATGCGATAACTCTGCATCTGAAGCCTCTGCCTGGAAAGGCTTGTCTATGGCTAAAGGCCTTTGTTGTGTGCTTCGCCACTTTTATGACCTGCAACGCAGATCCTGCATCTCTGCCCACATCGAACATGTGCCCGGCTTCCTCAACGAGGTAGCGGATTCCTTGAGCCGCTCAGGTGATCCTGCAGCTCTTGGGTTTGTGGACTCTGAAAGAATCTCTCCTCCATGGAGGGAGCTTCTTGTGCGGTTCCGGCCACAGTCAGCCCCACTTGAGGCTGACCTCTCTGGCTCCGTTCCTGCTCTTCGTTGAGTGGCTTTTTGGGGTGGGTCCCGCTGGGTCAATTCTGATCCGTCTCTCTTTGGACTTCTGCCCACCCCATTCCGTCTGACTGTTGTGCTCCCTGTCCAGGGGTTGAGCCCACAGTCTCTCTGTCCTCTGTTCAGACCTGAGCTGAACCTTGGACTCTTGCCACTCGTGTCAAAAGGAACGCGTACAGGGTTCTGCCTGTAAGTAGGAACGGACTAGTCTGGGCAGTAAACGGAACGATCGGTCGATTACTGAACTTCAGGGGGCGCTGGGCCGTATGATGGCTGTGAGGAATTCCTCTGCCGATCCTGCTTGGGAGGTACCCCTAGTGCAGGTTCTGGTGTTGGGGTTCGGGATTTTTGTAAGCGTAAGTCTGAAACCCGTGCCCATCTTGCTAGTTGGTGGGCAAAGCCTGTCCTCGAGGGCTGCGTGGCGACTCCTGTGCCAACTCCTCGTTTGTCATGTTTGTCCGTGCGGCCTACTTGCTACACCGTGTTGCGCTACCAGCGCTCGTCTGAGCCTGCCAGGTTCTCCACTTATTCTGCTTTCCGATAAGCTGTCGGCGGCCTTGACGGTTCTGACACTGTTTGCCAGGGGCAACTCCCGCACGCGCAAAGGCTTTCAAGCCGCTAATTTGTAATGGTTCCTTCGGTTCCTTCGGTTGCTTCGTTTCCAGCTATTCCAGCTCCCCAAATCTCACAGTCCATGATCATGCGGATGGCTGAGGGTATCAAGTCACGCGCTGTCCTTCAATTCCAGCAATGAAAAAGGTCTGGGAAGATCATGGCCAGTGAGAGTGCCAGACACGTCAATTAAGGATGTTGACACGTCCTCCCCCCCATTTGTAGCATCGCCCATCCGACAATGTGTATCAGAAAAGCCTTCAACTTATTGAGCTTGCTATTACACATTAATTTCGTGCGTGCCGCATGGTCCCTGTCGGCATGGCGACCGAAGCTGAAGGTTTGTTTCAGCGGCTTCCCGTCTCCACAAAACCAGCCATTTGCGTGGATGTTGCAAGCGGCTCTGAAATTAGCCCCGCATCCACAGCCCCCCAACCAACCCGGCGCCAACCAAACCCGCCCACCAACAACCGCAACAGATTCCAACCCCCAACCCTTAAAGCACGTGTACCCAAGCATTTGCTATCGGCCGTGCCATTTCTAGTATAACTCCGCCCACATATCGAATTTCAATGCTTTTGTACCTTGCTCAATTTCTTCTTAATCCCTCGCCCAACCCCCCCGCCGCTTAAAAAGGGTAGGCAGTCAGAAAAAAGAAGCATCAAAGATGGCTTCATCTTCGTAAATGTGTTTCAACCAGTTAAATGGCAAGCGCTTACACAACGCAGCAAATCATTGTGTGATATCCGACAAGACTCAAGTGCGACGTGTAGTTCTTGAGAACACGTCCTTTCGCACTCCAAGCATGTAGGCGCTGCCAATGCCAGAGCGCAGTGCGGAATGTTTGAGGGATTGCAGATGCGAGCTCCAAGGAGGAATTGCAAATGCGAGATGCAGTATATTGACTTGTTCACTGAGTTGCACACTCTGTGTTCCATCGTCTTTGTAGTGTTTGGCGGGTTGCCAAGGTTGAAATTTACAGTATATGCCTTTGACAACAGGTCCAAATGCTGCTTGGAGCGCAAAACCAGTGGATTACCATCATCAGGACTCGCAAACGCTTCAATTTGCAATGCGCGTGGCATTCCAGAAGCTACAGAACTTGTCATTTGCAGTTCGCAACGTTTCACAAAGTTGCCCTCATATCTTGGTGGCTTTCCTAACCAGGAGGTAAGGCGTAAGTTGGGGTCGCCATCCGCTATCCCTATGCTTGTCGCGTTTCTGGGACCCTCACATTTTTTTCCATCTCACACGTGCCAGCGTCACCGGGAACTGTCATCGTCTTGGCCCTTCAACATTGCTTTTTAAACATGTCAATACTCACAGGGATCAGGCAGGTGCGAGTCGCCATCCTCCTGACGGTCATTGCTTCTACTGCTTTCTCTTCTTCGCGTGTCTAAACTGTTAAGAAGCACAAGGATGAGCATGACCCCCAAAAAAGGTCGAGCCACACCTAGGAGAAAAAAGGGCCACATTCAGGAACAAAAATCCCTTCCGCCATGTGCGGGGGGTTTGATTAGGGCGTGCTTTTCAATTCCGGCTTGAACCCAAGGCATTGGTCAGTTTTTGTTAGCCCCGACTCTTTTTCAATTGGCCGCCATGTGAGCTGCAATTGCTGGTGGCCATTAATTGGGGACAGATTGACATTGCATCTACATGATGGCAATAACCACCACACATTTCTAACTGCCCAAGTGACAATGGGCGTGGCTTCATCCTGCAGCTGTTACGCAATTCTGCAGGGGAGATGGGTGGCTACCTTCCCAACAGTTGAGGATTCGCAACAGCCTAGGCTGGCTTATCTTTTCAATGTTTGTCTGTGTTTCAATTGGGCTCTGCCCTCGCGGAATTCTGGCTCCAAGCTTTTGAATCTGTCTTTCCCTGGCAAGATGCGTTGATTTTGCAAATGCCACCGAACAAAGTAGAGAAGACAATCAACATTCGCAACAATTCTGCGGCCAATCAAGCCGCTTCAAAGTTCCAAGCACATGGATTTTCACGTCTAGGTTGCGACGCCAGAGAATGTATGGTATCAAGTCGTGCAGAAACTTCCGTCAAACATGTCAAGAGCTTCGCGCCCTTCCCATCTGGAACCCAGTGGAGACAGGTGGCGGTTGCTAGTGTTTTCTCTGCAAATGCACCAGGATGCTGTCAAAGAAGGCAAGCTGCTGTCCGAATTGTTTCCAGCTCAGAGGCAAGCCTTGAGTGCGAGTGAAAAGTTAGTGTCTGCTCAGGAAGCATCCGTACATTGTGCGCTACCGCGAGAGCTTCACAGAGAGTGGATGGCGCCCAACGCACTTTGAAGCGAATGCAATAGCCTGACCACACAAGCCAAGATGTTCAATAAGCGTGGAGGGCGTTTGGTAAGTAGCAAGAAAAACGGAATAGCATATGTGGAAGCATAAAGAACTCAAGTCAGGCCAAGCTATAGCCAGATGCAGACCAGTATGTAAAGGGCCCAGCACCGTTGAAGTCAAACGCAGTGATTCGTCTAGCATCTGCCGATAGCTCAGCATCGTTCCAGAAACTAGTGAACCGGCCAGCACGTCTCTGAAGTCAAAATGCAGGGTTGAGTAGCAAGACCTGTAGCAGTGATGCTGCAGATTTTTCGTGTCCAGTCAATCTGGTTGTTCCCAGCTTTGCAAAACGAAGCCATTTCCAAAATTACCAGAGCTGATTTGCACCCAAGAGCAGCATGGCTAGCTGGCTAGGCCCACACGTCGTTCAAAATTGCAAGTGGGTCAAAGCTGTGCAAGCTCTCCAAAATGCATGGCTGCCTGCATTCTGCCCGCCCCGCCCAAAGCTTCCTATCCGAATTGGTGGCCAAGCTGGTAATCAAACTACCATACCATGTCACAACATGTCCGATTCCTTCCTCCGTTCTTGCGCTGTGTGGCTTACTTGGGCCTCTTCAAGTTGGACCCTCGTGCTCCTGGTAGAAGTTCTTGGGTAGCTGTCGGAAACTGGCCGATGCTGTGGCATGCTGACAATGAGCTTGTCAGTAAAGATACCTTTTCAAAACATCCGATGCATGGCAGGCTATGTATCCTCATGGATTACTGTGAGGGAGGTGATCTCACAGCACGAATATCTGAGGCCAGAATCTAAGTACTTGCAACATTGCCTTCTGATGACCAGCCCATACCAGGCCAAGCGCGGCAGAAAGCCTCTCTCGGAGGAGCAGATCTTGCGATGGTGCCCAGCGCTTGATTGCCGTAGACTTTTTTGTCATGCTCTGCAGGCTGTCGGAGTCAGCTTGCTAAAGCGGCCAGGTTTGTGCAGGCCATCATGGCCTTAGACTATATCCATAAGAAGCATGTTCTACACCGCGACTTGAAGCTCCGGACTCAGCACCGAACAGCCACAAGAAAGACAATTTGCCGCTCTCAGAACTTTAGGCCGTCCAATTTCTTCTTGTCCAAGAGTGGGACACGAATTCCTGCATGCGCAGTGCTTTGTTTGCTTGCTGCTGCGTGTTTGACCGATTCCTTGCCGCCTCCTACAGTGGCAGGAATTTGAAGATGGGCGACTTTGGAATTGCGAAAGACGGGCTCTCGGGCCTTTCTGCTTACCAGTTCTATTGGTTGCTCACTGCATGATGCTGGCGAGGTTCTCGCCTGCACTATTGCCGTGGCGAAAACACAGATTGGAACGTTCTCTCCCGAGAATCTGCTACGGCAAGTCTGTCAGGATGATCAGGCAAAATGCAGATCTACTCAGGCCATACTACTTGAGTCCAGAGCTATGTCAGGAAAAGCCTTGACCCTATCAAACTTCATGTGCTGGAAGCTTTAGCAGTTGTAGTCAGTGCTTGCCTGTCTGCAGAATTGTAGGAAACAAACCTGCCCAGGGAATACAATTTTCCATCCGACATCTGGGCCATGGGATGCATCTTGTACGAGTCTGCCGCTTATTTCAGTTTGTGTACTTCAGTTTCTGCAATTTAGCTGCTGAAGCGCTTCTTGCTGTCACTGCATCAGCCTCACAAGGCTTTGTGCGCGCAAAGTCCCGTTCGATGCGCCCAACATTCCGGGCCTTGTTCGCGAGATCGTTTGTAGCTAAGCCAAGCAAGTTTTCAGCACAGCGTCATCCTACAGCTTTTTCACACTCTCCACCTGTGGTTTCGGTGTACTAGCTGCTGATGCCTACTGCCTGGTTGTTGCGTGCATTGCTCACTGTTGATAGATGCTTCCTTTGTGCGCATGCACTCTTCCTGGCCAAGGTCAGGGGAACAATTCCAAGCGTGTCTCCTCCTGAATGCAAATCAAAAGCGCTTGGCTGGCCGACTTTGTGGCAGCTGAGGCCGTCGTCTTACTCTCCGTTCGTGAGAGAGCTTGTCAGCCAGATGTTGAACAGGAGCACGGCCATGCTTGCTAACCTCGAATCGTGCCTGCATTCCGGAAGGAATCCTGAGCGGCGTCCAAGCCCAGAGGAGATCTTGGCGAAGTGGATGCCTCTTACGAGTAGCTTTGTTCATTAGAGTGACCTTATTTACCGCAGGCCCAGGCTCAGGGAAATCATGCAGCAGATGTTGGATGAGGCTCAAGAAGCCGCCCAGGCGGGCAATGCGCGCAGAGTCTTAACACTAAAACACATTCAACAGGGAGGACTATACCATGCAAACAGAGTTGTTTACACTTCACAATGAGGCTGGCGATTCCTTTTGCGATTTTTTTGGGCTGCTTTTCTGGTTTTCTACAACGCAGCATGCCTTTTTGATCCGCGGTGTGGAAACTGCGTAGATGGGTAGATGCGTGAATGGATGGGTGGGCGGGTGAGCGGGTGGCAGGGAGTGGGTTGGCAGGTTGGTTGGTTGGTTCCTTGGTCACTCATTCTGCACTCAGTGGGTTTTTACTGCCAGGCAATTGGTGAATCCATGCAGGGTCGGTGGTCGATCCACAGGTGGGTTGGTTCCTGAACCGTTGGGCATCTGCACGCAAGATCGCGATTTCCAGCCAAATTAAGGAAATGGCCCATGTGGGAGCGTCTGCTTTAAGTTCTAGGTTCTAGGTGTCTGGCATTGTATGACTCATCTCATTGCTGATCCTGTTGTTTCTAAGCTTGAGTAAAAAACACCGACAAATTGCTGTGCCATGCGCTTCCACTGCGTCTGTTCCGGGCAGTCGCTGGGTGTTTGTGCATGGCAACCGGCCCCAACTCCCAACGCTTCTCTAAAGCCGCGCATGCGCGCCTGATAGAGCAGCGTGATTCAATTTGCACAAAGGGGTCTTCCCGAGTCTTCCCTGCATCACATGTTTGCAAATCGGGGCTCCGCCCCCTGCCAAGGCCCTCTCTCTTCTTTGCTTCTTTAGGCCGAACACGCATGCCTCACAGATCAGCATCGAGTTGCAGACGGGGGATCATCCCACCATATCCCACCATCATATGTTTGCAACTGTGGGGGGGCCTGCCTAAAAGGCGGTGCATGCTTGCCTGAGCAGCCTGTGGGAGACCAGTTTGCGGAAATGGCGCTGATATTGAACTTCAGCATATCACGACGTAAGCTTCCGCAACTTCAGCATATCACGACGTAAGCTTCCGCCACTGCGCGTGCGGGGGAAAGGGAGGTGGTGAATTGAACCTCTGTCGTGACATGAGGGTAGGCATTGATCATCAGACGCTGTGCCGTCCCCTTCTTCGAGGCCTCGCTTGCTTGCTTCACAGAGCAGCAGCGTCAGGAGACTCCATTACCAATGGTGGCATCGTGCACTCATCACATATTAGCAAATCGGGATGTGAAACTGACACCTTTTACGAACTTCGCTTTGGCCATCATTTCTCCGCTAAATGCAAATCCAAGGGGGTGAACCTCTGCATATGTCCTGACATGGGGTTTACCTTCTGCTTTTTCAGCTGTTCGTAAGGGGAAAAGGTTGTGATTTTAACGTACGTAATGACATGAAGTCATACCATGCATGGTATGTTTTCCCCATTGCCTGGTACGGGCACTCCCACGAAGATTGTCCTCGTCATGTTCTTTGAAACCATGCTCGTGTTGAACGTCTGCGTGTGGAGAGTTTGCTTGAAAAACGTGCACTCGCATTGACCATCCTTGTAATTTGCATCTTCGCAGCGCTTTTGCGTGACCGCCTTCATTATTTGCCGGCAAAATTATGCCCACTTAAGCAGCGCCCGGGAGCAGACCACGCACTCAAGATCCCCCAAAATCTGAGAACCGACTCCTTACAGAGCTGCTTACTTTAAGCCGGCGGATCAGATTCCGCAACTGGGAGAGATGGGAGAGCAACCTGCAAAGGCAGCTGACGAGCCCAGCGCTGGTGCAGAGCCACATCCAGAGCCAGCTTCCTTAAGCAATGCCGGGTACTCACATTTGCGAAGTCGACTTCATGTCCTGAGATTTTTTGAGTTTTTATAAGGCTGGGTCGCAAGCCGGAAGCCGGATCCTGACTGTGTCTAGTTGCTGGAGTCACTGCTACCTTTGCAGTTTCAGAGCAGGTCCTACATATCGAACGAACGACATGGTTGAGTACTACTCCGTGTCACACGGAGCCATTTCCCCAGCAGGTGTGTTTGTATGTTTCAGGGTGTCGCGCTCAAACCCCGCGCACGAATATTCAATAGCACGGTCATGTCCAAGGATTGGCTACCTGCCACCGTCCTACGGACTGATGGTGATGGCCGCATCATCATTGACTTGAAGCAACTAGCCAAGTTTGTTGGGCAAGTTCTCTTGTGCGCAATTCCCGCTTTGCTTCAGAAATCTCTGCCATCTGCGCATGTTGCACATATGTAACATATCTTCTTGAGGCCCAATACGTGGCTGTCCAAGGAGGTCAGCGGTTGAGCTCTTCCTTGGTCTTCAAATCCAAAACTTGCGTGGCAGCCTGCAGATATCTGCAGACTAAAGCTGAAATGGAGGATCAAGTGGCCAAAGTGCGACGGCGTCGCGATTGTTTGCAGCTCAGCTTTGACTGCTCAGCTCAGCAGCGGCTAGTTGGTTGACCGGGACAGGCCCTGGCTCGAGGGGAGGCTCACCTATGAGGTACGTCGTTATAGCAGCTGTTGTCTGGAAGCAGCAGTGTCTCAATGTGCAATGACCAGCACTGTTTGCACAACCTGGCCAACAAGCCGAGCTTAATCAAACATTATGCAGCACATTCGGAACGCATCTCTCACCTGCAAAGTGTAAAGATGACAGCCAGCACTTTAACCATGACAAGCACAGCAACGAATGCTGCAACTAGACGCAGCAGCACTAGCAGCTGCAGCAGCGGCGGCAGCTCACTACCACGATCAGCAAAATCCACGTCAAGGATCGTCTTACGTTTTTACGGTCAGGAAGCTCAACAATTCTAGGCTCACAAGATCGCAATGTCTCCATGTCATCCTCGCAAGTCCAAAATGTCTTCTGGCTCAGCGGACCACAGCCATCCAAAGCGCAATGCATCACTCAAAACTTCAGCTGTTGCAAGTAGCATGCGCGCTGCAAGAATCCTCCAAGCATAAACGCAAAACTTGCAAGAATGTTCCAAGCACAGGACAGACTGGCTGAATGCTGTGTGCTTAGTCTTGTCTAACACAAACATGTTGAACTTGTCAAGCTAAAATGCCCAGAGAGATGCTTTCTGGGCTTAGCGCTTTTACGACCCTGTGCCAATTTCAACAAGACACTTCCAGCACAAGTGCTGCGCTTCGGGGCCTTGCAACAACGTGCGGCGGGTCATGCCTGGCCATAGAGCACGCGCTCACTGCCCGTTGAATCATTGCACGCAGGTGCCTATACCGCAGAGGGTTTCTCGGGCGCTGTATGCTGTGACCCTGCAAACATCAACGCCTATGCCTGCCTCCAGGGCAGGCTGGCAGTCAGCTGGGCCGCACAAGTGCTAGCAACAGCAACAGTAGCAGCAGGAGGACGAGGAGCAGCAGCGGCAGCGGTTTCTATCACTGTCGCACCATCACCATCAGAACGTGCAGCACGAATAGACTTGAAGATGATTTCGGGCTGTGGTGATGGCGGATTATTGCAAATTCGTTGGGGCTTGGCCAGACTATGCGGAGCACCTGTGATGTCTGACCGGCACGTCATCCATGTGATGATTTGGCTTGTGCGGCCTTTTCCACATTCCGCTTTCGAAGCAGAGCGTTCACCCGCCGAGTGGTTCCGCATTCGCACTCCTGAGTGAGAAGCGTTCAACACACATCTTTCTCCGAACCAGAGCGAGCAGAGTGCTCATATCTCCGAAGACACTCCGACTGCAGCCTGGGGATCCTGACAGGGATCAAGGGAAAAAGATGCACCGCACATCACCAGCAAAAAGACTAGCATCAGTGGTAGCAGTGGTCGTGAAGGCACAGCATTACTTCAGCTCACCATCCGATGTTCCAAGATGTCAGAAGCTCTCAGTAGTTGCTCATATTGCCTTGGTGATTGCCAGGACGCCTTCTGTCTGGAGCCCTGATCGAAGCTACTGCGTGTTGGCTGGGCGCGAGACCGAGCAAGTTTGCATTGCAGAATCTTGAAGGTTCCTGGGCCTGACAGAAACGGTCTCCGTGGTGGTGTGCAGCTCATCAGTCCATCTTATCCTTTTTTTGGCCTGCTGTCCATGGTTCCTGAGGTGCATTCCCATCTCCACAAATGGGGCCCGCAACTTTGCAATCTGAGGTGGGTAGCAGAGCACTCCCAAGCCTGAGTGAGGCGAAGCCCTTCCTCTGGGGCCATTGGCGGGTCCAGGCAACCTGCAAAAAGCAAGGTTATCAGTCCCAAGTGGTTCAAAACACCTTCGTGATAGGCCAGGCAGCCGACCAGGTTCCAGAGGGGCTTCGCCTCTGCATCGCAGGAGACTCATGTTTGTATAGGATCCAGACCGTCAGCTGAAGGTTGCGATAGGACATGCAATTTGAAGTCAACTCTTGAAGGAGCCCTGCCTTGGCACTCTACTTACCAAGACCTTTAAGCAATTTTAAAGCATCAAAACTTGATGTCAGCTCTAAGGCTGCGGGCGCTATTGCCGGGATTGGAAGTCGCCCTGGCTCTGGTCTGGGCAGCCGTCCCGGGTCGCGGGCTGCCGCGGCCCAATTTGATACAGAGCTGCCGCCGCCAAGTTTAGCCATGGTTTATCAAATTTGAGGCTATGGTGACGTGTGGAAACTTGCAACTGAGGCGTCGCCCTCTCACAGAGCGTGGGGAACTTGAGCAACACGGCTAGGCGTCCAGAGGCTTTGTCCGAGTGCACTCAGGCCAAGTCCTCGACATGGTGACGCCTGTGCCTCAGTGAACAAAAATGCCTGGCCTGGATATTTTGGAGCGCTCAGGCCTTGTACAAGAAAGGCGAGTTGGTCGACTACTGGTCCATTTCACATGGGGAGTGGTGCGCGGCCAAAGATCTGAATTTCAGGCCATGAGACCTGGAGACAGCCAGGCTGCCGGCAACCGTGGTCAACACCGACTTCGAAGGTCTGGCGGATTCCTTGCCAGGCAGAGCTGCAGATCGCTTGTGTGGAGCAGGTCGCATAGTAATCGACCTGAAGCCAAATACATGGCTGACGAAGGAGGCATGCTTGGCCTACTCGATTTGCGCTGGTTTGGAAAGGATAGACTGCAGGACCAAGCGTCGAAAGTGCGTCGAAGAAATTTGGGCGGTCCTGGCCTGGGACTCAGTATATGCAAGATTTTGATGGAGATAACAGGAAACATGCAAGCGGGAGGTATGCCGTCAGAGGCTGGTTCGCAAATTCGGCGTACTCCGTCCGTGGAGCACTGAGTCAAGCTCAGGCTTTCCTTTGTCTGCTGTGTTTCAGCGCCTTCTCTTGCAGGCAGACCACTTTGCTGCGCCGCTTCGTGCGGCCTCCCCAAGGCAGACGAGAAGAAACTACGGAAAACGTGCTAAAAAGACACTCCGAACTTCTGCTGTAGGTGCGTACCTTCTCCTGGACGCGTGCTGGCCTCAAATCTGCAATGCACCTGGAACGATATGGCTACAATTTGCAGCTGGAGGCCATGTCGCCTCGTAGTTGGCTTAATTACCTTTTCAGCTGCATGTTGGCCTGTCGGAACTAGTCTAGCCAGACTGTGGTGAACTGAGATCGTGCACCCTCACCATCATGGCGTGGTTTTGGTGAGCCAGCAATTCGGGTGTGCCCGGGAATTATAAAGTGCGAAGGGAGTAGCCCTTCCGAGCTTTTGTGAAGGCACCCAGCCCGAGAAGGCGCGAACCCACGCCGCGAAGATCAGTGTACCTTGACTTGCATGATTTGAGCTTCTACGGCAAAGCCTGGATCGTTCACACTTTCTGCGAGACGCCAGGCCAGGAGTGCCGCCCGCAGGCGCTGATATGCGCGTTGCATGGCATTGCATGATGCGTTGGTCAAGGGGATGGTCCCACTGTCAGGAGTTCCTCACCTTGGTGACAGTCCACTCCTTCGTGCAGGTGGAAAAAACATTGCGGCTGGATACTTGCCACCGTGAGTCTCACAGCTTAATAGGTCGTAATATGCTCGGGATTTTCTCTGCAGATCCCGGGCAATTCAAGGTTCAAGGCCCCTGGAGCTCGAAGCATGTGCTTGGTGCCACACAGACTGCGCTTGCTCAGAAGTTGAGAGTGGTAGCAAGTGTTGTTGATGTGGTCTACTTGCTGTGTACAGTTTCTACCAACATGTGGGGCAAGTAGGTGGAAGCAGCCTGGCCTTATTGCTGTCACTGGCTCAGTGTCAGGCTGCTGGAATTCGTCTTTGTAGACCGATGCTCCGACAACCTTGGGAAGGCCGAATGGTTCCTGCACAAGCAGCAGCCGGAAAAATGTTCGACTGCATTCGGTTGAGTGTACCCACTGACCCTCCTTTGGTTGCAAAATCATCTGTGCGGCCCTCCGCCTCCTCCCCTCGTGGAGGAGAGACACATGTCTAGATTGACAGTCGTAGCCTTTGTTCTGCTTTGAGTCTCTCCTCTGCTCTTACTCGTAGTTTGCGCACACAGGCCACTTGCCCTGTTCTTGTTCAGATGAGTCAAGGAACACCCTTAGTACTCTTGCCGGAGTGGCAGACGCCGCGCTTACAGCCATGTTCTGGCTCTGACCAAGCTGAAGAGATGTTCAGCAGCCCTCTAAGCGCAAACATCCCCATATCATTTATACCATCAGCCCGCAGTTCGCGCTTCTTTTTGGCACTTCTCGCCTGTTAACACGGACAAGACGTGGCAATCTAGGACTCAACGGCACATTGGCTGCCCCAATCTACTTATCACGAGCCCTTCGTAGCATGAGCTTCTAAGTCATGCTTTGTCGTACGGGTTGCAGGGGGGGGCAAGACATTTAAAGGGGCCTGAACATTACATGCAAATGCAACGGCAGAGGCTGTTACTTGTCGGCAGCTCAGCTAGGTGCAGACCTTGTTATCTCCGCAATCTTGGGACTCATGTGGTGCTCAGATTTTGGTAAAGTGCTTGCTTGTAAATCTTGGGCTTCTTGCCTGAGACGCATTTGGTATTGGCTGTATAGAGAAAGCGCATCTGAGTAAAGAAGGCGGACGGAGCTCATCACGTGTTCATGTCTCAGGCCTACGCTGTGGTGAGCTCGAGCCAGCTAGCGAGCGTGAGGTGCCATGACAAGAGTCTGAAATCGGTGATGAGCCCTTGTGTCTATGTTTGTGGGAGGCAGTGGCGGGGCCCAGTCAGAGCTTCAAGGTCGGCTGAAACTCGGTAGCATGAGCAGCCTTAGTATATAGACAACATTCCAGCCTCGCCGGACATTCCTTGAGTCATTGAGGCCTGGGCATGGGACTGGCTTTGCGCTCGAACTGCGATGTCTGCAATTTTTACATGTCGATGAGTCCAAGCAGGTTTTTGCACAGCTTGCTGGATATCATTTCTCAATAAAGGCAGTCGGCTCCTCAAGATAGTCATCAGGTGGCAAGCTATCGGCAGCCCAAGATGGGTTTGTTCGCCGATGGTTGACCAGCATGCATCCTAAGCTGTTGGGGGCAGCGTGCTGTTCTTGTTCAGTCTAGTGACTGGAGTCTCGAGGTCTGAGCGGGCCTTCCGAATCCTCTGCAGAAAGTATGGGGCGCCGCCAAGAGCTTTGAAAGCCTGTAGATCCCATCTTCATCCTTCCAAGCCAGGTCGACCTGGCCTACACCCCAATGTTGCACGCAGAGCCGTTCGCGTCAGACGAGGAGTACCGCAGGAGCTGGGTTTAAGAAGTTAAGGTCCGGGCCAGACTCGCTCGCAAGTGACCTACAGTCGGTTGAGCCTGAGGTACTCTGCAGCTGTCAAGAAAATTGTTGACCGGCCCGGTGCTGCCGTGGAACTGTCGGGCCATGGCTTTCCCAAGTACTGGCAGGGCATGCGGAATCCAAGCAGCCTGGCAAAGCAGGGATTGGGCCTGCGGGGCCAGGACTTGAGGGCCAAACCGGGAATTGGCACGGCTGCCAGCTATGGAAAGAATGTCAATGTCAGGCCCGCATGGGAATCAAAGAACTGGGATCCCAATCGACCATCACCATGAGCTGGTCGTGATGTGGAGACGCAAGCGGGAAATGCCAGGTCGATCCCACATTTGTTGCAAAAGGTGAGCTTTGCATGATCTTTAGCAACCTGTCGTCTGGCTTCGGACCAGGTGCTCCGCACCATTCCCTTTGACTGCATTGTCATGCAACTCCCTGCGCCTCCTTAGACTGGGCACGTGCAAGGACCTACTTTGATGCCTGGGAAGCTGCAGATTTAGGCAGCACTGGCGGCAGATTGCAGCGGGCTGTGTTTTTTGATTCTTAGGGTCATCAAAAAGCTGATGAATCCATGCGGTGTAGAGGTCCAGTTGATACAGTGCACAGTTGACTCAGCAGTGTGCTTTGGAACTTGTCTCAAACACGTCCACTGCTAGTACAGTTGCGAAAGTGTTGTGGGAAGCGACAGCACATGAATGCTGCCTCGGCTGCCGGGCGGAGAGAAGCAGGGGGAAAGGGCGAACGGCCAATCACCTTGGACTTGAAGGCGGCTAGGCCGCCAAGCTTGCCCGGGGCGTTGGGAGGGGGATCGGGGCAGGCAACAAACGTTCCAACAGCACTGAGGCTGGATCACTTCGACGAATCATCATAGTGTTGCCTTAGCGTTGCCATGGCAATGGCTCAACCAAGAATTGGTGGAGCCTCCTGTCAGGGTCTGCTAAAGATGTTGATCGCCCGCTGATTGCACAACTCGGTGGCGACGATCCGTGCAAAGCTGAGCGCTAATTCTCTGCCGGCTTACAGCTCTCCTTGACTTGTGTGGCTTCCTGGGTGCGGTTGGTTCTTTTCAGGCACACGATTTTACGCGCGGCTCGCATCCTGGAGCCTCATGTTGATGCAGGAGGCTCAGAAGGCCAAGCGCTGAGGTTGGTACCCGTCTCCAACGAGGAAGGGGCAGTGCGTGGAGACATCTGTAAACACCGTATCCTACAAACATCCCTGTGCTGAGGCGATTGACATTAATTTCGGCTGTCCAACAGAGGATGCCCGCAGGCCTGGCTTGAGATGCTTCAGCTTCTCCCGCCTCTTAGCTTGGAAGGTGTCCAGGTCTTTTTCATTGATTCACCGCTATGCATGGCTTTTTCAAGTTTCACAGCTTTGCCAGGGGTGGTCATAACACGCACTCACCTCACTGTCGCCGATACGGGGCACATCTCCGAGTCGGGCAAATGTGAGACGAGAGGCTTCAGTGGCTGCCGGCAATCTCATTGCAGCCCGCTTCAAGGCATACCTGCTCCGTGACCCTCAACTTGTGGCTGCAGCCCAAGCTTACTGTTGGCGTCGAAGCTTCCATTTTGATGTCAAGTGCCCGTATCAAACGCGTGCAGTAGGACACGTCCTGCAGAAGCATCTCCCAACTGTTGAGACGTCCCTTTTGCAGAACATTAGACGGGTCCTCAAAGTTATGACATTGCCACGCTTCAGGCGAAGATTGTCGGCACTGTAGCGGCTGGACTTAGACGGGTCCCCGTGACAGCGAAAATTCGTCTTCTGCCCCATCGCCAAGCGGCACCCTCGGATTGGCAATTGAACCTGTGGCGTTGCGCGGAGCTTGCCCCAAATGTCAGGCTACCCTTGAACTGGCCATGGCAATTGAAGAAGCCGGGGCAGCTGCCCTTTGTCGCTGGGACATGAGTCTGAGTGTTGACATGACTTAGACTGACTCCACGGTTTGTGTACATGCAAGGTGTCCATGGGAGAACAATTGCGCAGCGACCAAAGTACGCAGCCAACCACTCAGAATGGGAGACTTCGTAATGCCCTGTGCACATGAGACTGCAATGGATGAGGAGCGGGATGGCTTGGGTCAATCAAGTTTGTCACCCAGTTGGGCCAAGACCCTCAGCCTCGCCCAGCTGCCTAGCTTTGCCCTTGGAGCCTCTTCGTGATGTGACCCGGAAGGAAGCCATTGCGGATGTCCGTCGTTCTGTGAACATTCCCGTGCAACTCGGCTGTGATAGCTTCCTGGCTCCCGTCGTGCAGTGATTCTCGTGTGATGCTTTTCAAGTTCCGTCTGAGCCTGAGGATCTCCAATGGAGGCACGGTAAGCAAGCATCCCTCAATTCGGTTTGGATGTTCGGCTTTGCACGCGCAGGCATCGAGACGAGACTTGAAGCAGTTCAAATCCCAGCCAACCGCCAGATTTCAAAATTGTCTGGTTGCAGCATACCTTGTTGCAGGTGGCGTGCCTGCAGCAGACTGGGGCGGCGGCCTCTTTCTCAGCATGATCAGTGTGTCATACCAGTCCCTGCGAAACGTTGCGTGCCGAGGCCGTGATGTCAGCTGAAGCCCTGCTGGAGGAACGGTACAAAAACATTGCGTCATATTTTGTCATACATGTTTGGGACAAGTCCAATCTTCACAAAATGTTTTTACCCACCGGACTGGAATTTGGAATTTTGTCGTCGGGACTTGAAGCTCGTTACGGGAAACATGGGACCGGCCCTTGGTGGCAAAGGGAAATCCGATGTGCAACAATGTCCTTAGTCTTCCAGTGCAGGCAATACAGGAGACAGGGCGCGTTGAGGTGTCCTGTGTGCATATTTATTCGAAGCCCGCCGTCTCCATTCCTCAACCCTCATCCTCAGGTTGGACAGTTCACGCTCCTAGGTATTTAGGATTTAGGATTGAAGATCATGCTTAGGGTCTTAGGGTTCTGGTTTCAAGGCTAGAGGCTAGAGTTCTCGGCTTCGCCCGTGGGGGCTGGTCTGCCTCCTTCGTAGAAGCAGCCAGATCCATTGAGTAGTGGGGGGCCTTGTGCAAACTCCGGAATCAGTGAGAGAAAGTCGGAAGTAAAAGGAGTAGGAGGAAGTGTAGTAGAACAGGAAAAAGGTAGGAGGATGTAGGAGGTAGTCGCCATTATTACTCCCAGTTAGTATTCTTATTGTGCTAGTACTATAGTGCTAGTAACACTAGTACTACTAACTACGACGACGGCTGCTGCTGGTAAGCTAGTGCGCCCCACGGCACCAGGCCTTGAATTGAGGTGAGGCCACCGTGGCATGGGGACTCGCTAGTCGCTAGAAACAGAGGAAATAGCGATCTTGAGTCAACCACTTTGAGGGTCAGATTTGTAGAAAATCATTCGCAATGACACTACACAGCGTTCAGACTCAGTATCATGTAGGGGCCTCTTGCATCAAAATTGGGGTTTAGGGGTTCATTCAAGGATAAGTCTATAGCGCAAGAAGACAACGGATAAGACGTCGAACCTTAAACCCTGAAGCTCTAGAGCCTAAACCCTAAACTCCAAACCCGAAACCCCGACCACTTCGTCTTCAGTACATGGAACACGAACGTCATTATGCTTTGTGCATAGCTGCTGCGGACCGTATGCTCTTGGAACCCGAACGTCATTGTGTTTTGGGCATGGATGTTCTGGTGACCGTATGCACTTGGTATGCTCTTGGAACACGAACGTGACTATGGTTTGGGCATGGTTTTTTGCATAAGAAAATACCTGCTCTTCCCCTAAGACGCGTTTTTGCAAGAGCCCGCGTTCAGCCAGTCGACGCTGAAAGGTCCCATGTCACAAAATGTAATGAAACATCCCCCGAAGCAAAAAACTGCAGCGCCAGGAGGGGCACGTGGGTACTATATTACTACTACTACTACAACAACTACTATTACTATTACTATAGCTATTACTATTACTACTACTACTACTACTACTACTATTACTATTACTTTTACTTTTACTTTTACTTTTACTTTTACTACTACTACTACTACTACCACTATTCTTACTACTACTACTATTAGTACTATTAC